GGATTTTCACAGGAGGTTATTGATATGCTTTTGAAATCCCGTAAGGTGTCCACTTCCTCTATGTTGTAGCATGTGGATGCTGTTTTCCACATGGGCAATAGACCACGGCATTGTCCTTTCTCAAATCTCATCTGAGGCGATCCTGGGGTTCCTCCACACAGGTCTGGACAAAAGGATGAGCCTTAGTTCCCTCAAGGTACAGGTGTCGGCTACATCAGCCATCACTGGGATCAGGTGGACTCAGAATCAGAGCGTTTCCAAGTCCCTGAAGGCAGTGAGTAAAGTATATCCTCCTAATAGGCTTCTTTATCTGTCTTGGGATGTTCCTCTAGTTTTGGAGGCTCTTTCAGGACCTCCCTTTGAGCCAATACAGTCTATTTCTATGCAATTCTTGTCATACAAGATGGTCTCCTTAGAAGTCTTGGCTTCAGGTAAGGAGGGTGTCGGGGCTCCAAGCCCTGTGGTTGTGGTCAACCCTTTCTCATTTTTCATGATTATAGAGTAGTTCTGAGAACTGTATGAGGTTTCTTGCCGAAGGTTCATGCTAGTGTTCATGTGAATCAGGATATTATCCTTCCCGCTCTCAACTCAGAAGGGATGGAAGGATGTTTGAGCCTAGTCCGGTGTCTGAGGACATATGTGGAAGGATGTAAGGACTGGGAAAAGTCCAGAAGGCTGTTTATGATTACGGCAGGAGCCAGGAAGGCATTGGCAGCAGCCAAAACTTCATTAAGCAGATGGCTTGTGCTCACCATCATTAACGCCTGTCAAACAGCGGGAGTCTCCCCACCAAAAGGCATCGGTGTTCACTCCACAAGGGCCGTGTCCTCCTCATGGACAGCAGCAGCTGGAGTTTCAGTGAATCAAAATTGCAGGGCAGCAACATGGGCGTCTAGGTCTACCTTTTGTTAGCATTCTCGACTGGACGTCAGGGCTGCAGTGAATGACCACTTCGGTAGAAGTGTTTTGCTCTCTCGACTTGGAGTCGAGTGATACATTTATTTTTCGCATTCAATTATGTTTGTCTATGGATTTTGTTCCCACCCTTACTTCTGCTTGGGTAATCCCCATTTGTCAGCGCTGCCATGGATATGGCCAGGAAAACGGAAAATTTAATCATACTTACCGTAATTTTCTTTTCCTGGTTATACTCCATGGCAGCGCTGGGCTCCCACCCTATGGAGTTTTTAGCTTGTTACTAGACTGGGGAAGTCAGCAGGAGGAGGGGCTTTTATAGAGAGGGTTAGGCCTTGTTTAACCCTTTTGGTTCCTGTCAGCTAGGGGTAATTGGATCTAAACCCATTTGTCAGCGCTGCCATGGAGTATAACCAGGAAAAGAAAATTATGGTAAGTATGATTAAATTTTCCGTTATTTCTCTTTCGTTCATTGAAGGACACAGCGTAGATAATTAATCTCAACATTGGGTTAGAGCGCCAACTTCAGGAGCAGGACACTAGGCTGAAAACAAAAGTACAGCAGCCCCAGATGGTGACCAAACCCCCAGCAGCTAGAGTCAGCTAAGTTTTTGTTTTTTTTGCCTAGTGTCAAGGAGTAAGGGGTTCTAAACCCTCCCGTTTTTTTGCCTATATCTACTGCTATCAAGCAGTAGATATAGGCAAACAGTTTTAAAAAATAGCGCTTTAACAGCGGTTTAAACTTACCTTGTTTTCGCTGCGCTCTCCCGCCAGAGAAAACTAAACTGTTCGGGCGGCCGCAAAGCATCTTGGGGCGGGCGCATGCGCAGTTCGGATTCTTGGCCGGGAGACTAGCAGAGACGCAAGTTAAAGGCCGTGACACACTGCACGCGAAGCAGCGCGGAGCGGGGGGCGCGCTGCCTTTGCGAGCAGTGTGCCATGTAATTTTCTGCTCGGCACCTCAGCTTGCGAGGGCTCGCGGAGCTGAGCGTGCCGAGATGAACAATTTCAACTTCAGCCAATCGGCTCACGCGTATAAACCAGCGCGTCGCGATGCGACAGCTGGCAGGTTGTTACGGACGAGCCGATTGGCTGAAGGTGGTTTTAATCATCTGACTGCACTCAGCTCACACACTGCACGCAAAGCTCCGTGCCGGATAGCTTTGCTTCGCTCTGCACGGCTTCGCGTGCAGTGTCACGGCCTTAAGTCTATGGACGCATGCACCCGCATGCGGACACCGTGGGATCAGAAGTGCCAGCAAGCAGAGAGGAGTCCGAGCTGGATTAGAGAGCCGCCGCACCGCTGGAGGGACAGATGAAAACATCATAAAAGATCGGATTAAGAGACATCATTTAAGGTAAGTGCTGACATTAACACTGGGGGGAGGGAAAACAATTTTATCCTTTTAATGTCACTTTAAGCACACTGCTGGGGTTCTTAGTTTCCTTTCTTCCTGCAGAGTATTTTTAATTTTAGTTTAAGACCTTCAATCAACAACTGAGCTGGATGATCTAGATCCTTGTAGACCCCCCAACTCAGCCATTAAGCACATGTAGATCCTTAGCTTTGTGTGGGGTGGGCTGCAACAGCCCTATCTTTGATTTTAGGGCAGTCTGTGAGTGTTCCTCACGTGGGGCACATATGACTGAGTGCCTTGTTGCTTGGTTACAATTAGGGATGCACCGATATATCGGCCGCGAAACATATCGGCCGAAAATGGCACTTTTGGCATAATGCCGAAAGAGCCATGTTTCGGCCGATCGGCGCATCCCTGCTTTCTTTTCTCCCCGCTTGGCGCTGCTCTATGTCCGAGCGGGGAGAAGAGAAAGTGACAGCCGGCCGAACGCTGCATGACGAGAGCGCTGTGAGCGGCCGGCGTCTCCTCCCACACCGCTCTGCCGCCTATCACAGTCCGGCAGAGCGGTGTGGGGGCGGAGACAGCGCTGTCACAGGAGGCTGGGCTTTCCTCTCTACACCGCTCGATCAGCCTCCTGTGACAGCGTGTCAGAGAGAAAAGCAAGGTACACACACTCAGTGATCAGTGATCGCTGAGTGTGTGTACATAATTGAGGATATGGTATGTTAACTATATCCTCAATTATGAATGAATGGGAGTGATCTACATCACCCCCATTCATTCATAATTGTAGTTATAGTAAACAAACAATGTTCTCATGTTATCAATGAACAGGAACACTCATAGAGGATTCCTGTTCATTGATAACAGGGGACACAGAAAAAGAGATTGAGGACTCTGTGTTCTCAATCTCTTTTTCTATTTTAAAAGGGAAATATCAGGGGTCTGTTTAGACCCCTAATATTTCCCCAAAGCCCCTAAAAGTAAAGTTTAAAAAAAAAATAATAAAAAAATGATTTAATAAATATTAAAAAAAAATTTTTTTATAAAAATAAAATATTTTTAAAAATTGAAAAAATAAAAAACATTTTCGGTTTCGGCCTGACATTTTTTTTATTTCGGTTTTAAAATTTCCATTTCGGTGCATCTCTGGTTACAATGTCCCCCCAGGCGGACAGCATCCACACTACGGCAGGAGGCAGCCTGTCAAGGCAATAGTACCTGCTGCACATCCTCGGTAGTTGAGTATTTCCTTACTTCTGCTCATTCTATTTGGGTAGCTTGGAGCTGTATTTTTATGTATATTATGGGCAGGGGGTACATGTAACTGCTGGTTCCATACAGCCAATCACAGTGTTTCCATACAGGTTAAGCAGCGCCCTGATTCTGTCTAGAAGGGACCATCTTTCCAGGAGTCCATGTTAAAGCTTGTGTTTTGCCCTTAGTGATGTCACTCCCGCCTTTTAGGGACCTCACTGCTGCCTGTGGGGTGGTGTCTCCTGGAGTTGGATGTGAAGAAGTTCATGTTGGGTCAGCCATCCCTTTGCCTGCTTGTGGCATGGCTGCCTGGTTTATATGGCTGATGGCATTACGGGTCCCCTGCCCAAGTGATTAGCAGAGCACATGTAAGCCTAATATGAGGGCCTAGCTGCCCCTAGCTCTGCTTAGTGTGGCCTAAGGCTGCTTCTGCCCTCTGGTCTGTTTTATTCATCCTCACTTTCTGGATATGTAAATACTGTTGGTCTATTTCCTTTTTCCCTATGCCTAGCAGCAAATAGACAGTGGTTTGTGTTCCTGCAGTCTGCATGTCTTTCTTTCGGTTCCTGCAGTCAACACACTGTTGAGTTTTTCCTGTGTTCAGATGTCCATATACTATCTTGACCCTCTCCCCTTAACTTGGGTGATTTTCACTGAGTTTGTACCCTTATGCTGCTGTACATCCCAGCTTGCAATAGTGTAGCAGCCCATAGCTTTTCTCTTGGGTCCTTTTAGAGGCCTTTGGATTTCTGACCCTTCTTTGAGGAACACCAGCCAGGACCCAAGTCATCTAGCTAGGGACAAAGTGCTGGTTATAGAACACTAGATACGTCAGCATGCATGTAGACATGCAGTACTGTGCAAAAGTTTTTTAGGCAGGTGTGAAAAAATGTTGTAAAGTAAGAATGCTTCCACAGATCTGTGGTTAGTTCTCAAACATGTTTGGAACAACCTACCTGCCGAGTGCCTTCAAAAACTGTGTGCAAGTGCACCTAGAAGAATTGATAGTGATTTAAAGGCAAGGGTGGTCACACCAAGTATTTGATTTTGATTTCTCTTCTGTTCATTTACTTTCCATTTCTGTTAATTGATAAAAATAAACTATTGGCACTTATATTTCTGAATGCATTCTTACTTTACAGCATTTTTTAACACCTGCCTAAAACGTTTGTACTGTACATACTGTTTACACATACATGCTTGTATGTATACTCATACATGCATATAAACACACAGGCATGTATGTACTGTATACTCATACTTGTGTGTGTGTGTGTATATATGTATGTGTATACAGTGGGGCAAAAAAGTATTTAGTCAGCCACCAATTGTGCAAGTTCTCCCACTTAAAAAGATGAGAGAGGCCTGTAATTGGCATCATAGGTAGACCTCAACTATGAGAGACAAAATGAGAAAACAAATCCAGACAAATCACATTGGCTGATTTGGAACGAATTTATTTGCAAATTATGGTGGAAAATAAGTATTTGGTCACCTACAAACAAGCAAGAGTTCTGGCTCTCGCATACATGTACCTTCTTCTTTAAGAGGCTCCTCTGTCCTGCACTTATTAAGGTGCCCATACACCTTACAATTATCGGACGAAACGTTTCGTCCGATCGAATAGTCGTACGATTTTCGTACGGCTGCCCCGATGATCGCAAGATTAATTTAGCCGTAATTAACGAAAAGCACCTGGACGAAATGCGGTAATTGATTTGCCGCATTTTCGTTGGCGCAGTGTAGATCGTACGACTTTTGACTGACGGAAACGCCAGCAACATTACGACAATCGTACGATCTAGCAAAGTTTTCAAACATGCTTGACCGTCAAAAGTCGTACGATTGTACAGTAATGTAGGTCGGACACTGCAATGCACACATACGATTATCGGACAAAAAGTCGATCGCACACGAAAATCGTCCGATAATCGTAATGTGTATGGGCACCTTTTACCTGTATCAATGGCACCTGTTTCAACTTGTTATCTGTATAAAAGACACCTGTACACAACCTCAAACAGTCACACTCCAAACTCCACTATGGTGAAGACCAAAGAGCTGTCGAAGGACACCAGAAACAAAATTGTAGACCTGCAGCAGGCTGGGAAGACTGAATCTGCAATAGGCAAGCAGCTTGGTGTGAACAAATCAACTGTGGGAGAAATAATTAGAAAATGGAAGACCTACAAGACCACTGATAATCTCCCTCGATCTGGGGCTCCACGCAAGATCTCACCTGCAGAGAGCTGGGACCAACGTAACAAAGGCTAACGTCAGTAACGCCGCCAGGGACTCGGATCCTGTAGTGCCAGACGTGTCCCCTGCTTAAGCTAGTACATGTCCGGGCCCGTCTGAAGTTTACCTTGCAATTGATGTTACATTTTTTTGGGGACAGATAGAGCTTTCTTTTGTGACCCCGCGGGGGGTTATTTAATTTTTTACTATAATGAAAAAAGTACCATCAATGTAAAAAAAAAAAAAAGTTTCCCTACGTTGTTATAAAACATTTATTCTTACCCATATTTTTAGTAAAACATAAAAGTCGGGGTCACGTCAGGTAAATAGACACCAAACATGTCAAGCCTTAAAATTGCGTGCGCCCGCAAAATCGCAAAAACCGCACATAGGCAACAATTAAAATGCTTTTACTGCTCATCAGTTTAGTGTTATCTGTGATTAATGGCTCTAAAATTATTGCTCTCACTCCGACGTTTGCGGCGTTATGTAACATGTGAGGCACAATCGTCGTTTTCGTACGTAGGCGCACCCGACGCATATCTGCGTGTGTATGTGGGGGGCGGGGACTTAAAAAATGTTTTTCTTTTTTACATTTTTTTTATGCTTTATTTTTTTATGATTCTTTAATTTTTGTATTACTTTTTTTTTTACACACAACTTTATTGCTATTACATGGGGGGCTAAGAAGCCCCCTATGGCATAGGCAATTTACATGACAGGTCCTCTTTATGGAGACATCAGGGGTCTCAAAGACCCCTAATGTCACCTAGGGACGCCCAGAGAAGCTGATGAAGCAGAGATCGGCTTCATCAGCTTCTCTAGCTGGAGAGTGACACTGAATGCAGGAAGTGATGTAATATACATCACTTCCTGCATTCGGGGACTGAGAGGAGATCAAAGGGAGTTCGTATACTGAACTCCCTTTGATCTCCTGTCACAGAGCCGTGCC